CCAGCTGGAGACAGAGCCAGAAACAGGCTGAAACAGGAGCCCAAATTCTGGCGTCCATGACAGTCACAGAAGGGGAAAAATAGTGGCTTCTCCTGCAGAGTGGTAGCCAGTTTCACCGAGAGTGCTTGAAATTAATAGGCTTTTAAAAAGACTTACAGGACATTTTTTAAAACAGGAATTCAAAGGGCAGTGCCAACTTTATATTTAATAGTGAAATGTAGGTATACGCTTTTAACATCAGGAAAAAGTCAAATTGAGTTACATGACACCGTCGTTCCCCACCCCCCAGTTTTCAGCATATGAAATGGTCTTTAGACATTTTTTTTTCTATTTTGTCACTAAGGTGAAAACAACCTCCAGAAATTTAAAAAAGTGACTGAATTCTGGGACTGCCTCATATCACATTGTTCTCATTTAATTACTATTTTTTTTCTTAACACTTTGAATACATAGTATGTATATATGTACAGGAATAGTAAGGGCAGGAAACACTTGTTGACTATTTTATTTTAAATGAGTAGGGCTGATTTACATTATTCACATTATATTTTATATTTTCATTATTCACACTACAAGAGGCAAAAATTAGATGTTATTTTTTAAAATGCACTGTTATTTATGGTAAGTCATGCAGAAGTCTTTGTGTTTTCCCTCCAAGATATTGTGGAGGGGGCATGGTCACTCATGGGATCCCAAAGTTCATTATCACTAATGTGGAGTCCGTTATACGGCAGTCACCTTTGTCGTTTAGAAGGCTACCCAAAATTTCTTATTGATGATGCCCAGGCACAGTTCATTTTTTCTGATACACAGAACACTAGTAATTTATCAACCGTTATTACTCTTCTTCAAAATAAACACCTTTAAATTTCTAATTATATTGTCAGAAAACCAAATGGTCAGTACTGTTTGCATATTGTATGAAGAAACATTATACAACGAACTCATAATAAATTACATAAAAAGCTAATTATATATCTCATCTGCTTACAAGAATTTCTGTATTCAAGCTTCTGTTGTAGCCTAAAGGAAGGAACTCTGAATTTTCACTTCTAAATATTGACTTTTTAACTAACAGCAGTGATTCCATTTTTTATGGATGAAAAGGTAGTGATTAAACTAGATGAAATATTTGCCACAGTGCAATTAAAATTTCTACATTAACCATCCCTCCAGAAAGAAAAATCTTCGTAGCAATGTGAAATTAATTATCAGCCACTAAACATGTTAGGTACTGGTTTCCTATATGAAGGAAACTCCAAAAGAATGATAAAGACAATGAAATTTATGGGAAACTGTCGGACTGTAATGGCAGAGACAGACACACCACACGCCAGATTCCACATCCAATTGTGCACTCCCATAATTATATTCCTGCCTGATTGTGATAGTTATCAACCAAGAAATTTACTACAAGATTAACAGAGACACAATAATGAAAAAACAGGGACGGCATCGTGTAATTGACTGTTATTAAAGTGTGTCATCATAGCCTGTAATAAACTCCTTGGCTGTAGCTTTCTGGAGAAACCCAAGCCAGAACTTTCTACTACTTTTTTCCATTTTTCCATTGGGCTATGGGGGCTCCCCACCCCCATCGGCTTCTGCTTAACAAGTGCATGGTCAGAAGTCTAAGGGAAAAAAAGAGACACTGCGTATATTATGAATTAGAGTTGTAGGTGGGCTTCAAGACACAGAGAAGTGAGGGTTTCCAAGACAGCAACGAAAGGACCACACATCATCTTCCCATTTCTAACTTGTATGAAACGAGTAAAGCAGGGCAGATAAGAAAACTGTGCGGCAGTGAGGCAGTTTTCTCTGGATACTGCAGCAGTGGCCACGGCAGCCCTTTCCATTCATATTTTAATGAGGTTAGTATCTCCGAGGCCATCCTCAGAGGGCAGCCACAAGGTTCCCCTAAGATTACAATAGGAGTTGCTTTAGTGACAAGCACCATTCAAAATCGTCACAGTCCAGAAAGAAAGACTCAGTTTTACTCTGCTTATCTAAGTCTATGGAGGAAAGAGGCACAATGATTCTATGAACAGCGTTTAAATTTCCCAAAGGTGGTTCAGGTAAGGAGAATCACTTAAAACTCTAATCATGTCTAATTCAGCAAAATCAGGATGTTTTGTGTACATGGACCAACTCTCAACAAGGACTGTAATCATTATGCACTGCAAACATGGACTAATAAAAAATAATGGGGAAAAAGCTGCTATGATACCATCTTTTTCTTAAATGCATTTTTGAGAATTCTGTTGCTTTGGGATTTTTAAGATCCATTTTTTTTAATATGCTGACCTCAGCTGTTTCTCACCTTGGGCTTATTCCCTTTCTTGTTTTGTTGGACAAGGTAACAGTCTCTTCCGGCTATCAGCCAGCAACCATGTCCTACTTTGAAAAAAATCTTTACTCCAAAGGGCTAGCAAATTGCATCAAACAGCCAATCAGCCTTCCTGGACTTAGAAAACGATAGATATTCCTTCAATACAAAGTACTTGTTTTAGGCAGGCCCTACTGTTGGATTCCAACATGTAAGATTATACTTTCAGGATAATAAAAACAATCTATTCTTATGGAGAAAGCTTTAATGTGGGAGACTATTTTCAAAATTCGAAGCCGGGAAAGAGATGACAGAGCCCTCAAAATCAGTTCTGAAGGCCTTCCCGGTTAGGGTTCTGCTCCGAAGGTTTGATCAGTTTAAAAATACAAGCAACATCAACAAAACGGTTGCCGGCATGGCCTGGCTGGAAAGGAAGTGCCTGGTGTCCGAGGCTGGAGCTCAAGAGTTTTTAGAGCCTCCCCAGCCCCAGACCTTTGGCCCTCCAGGCCCTGCAGGGTCCCCACCCCCAAGCATCAATTCTGTTTACTTTCTGGAGGGGAGGAGAGGGGGAGGGAAGGGAGGGAGAGAGGCTGAATTTCCAAATTACAGTTGGATTTTTAAATGAGAGCCCATTCGTCACTTTCGAGGAAAATACTGCCTCATTGATACCTAAAAACTGCTAGATGTATATACATATATATGTATCCGATAGGGAAATATACTTAAAAACATATACATCTCAGAAAGCAGTTACACCGCTGATCATTCTGTTAATGATCTGCCTGGACTAATTGTAATTTAAAAATTTGCCTTTGTATTTTAGAACTTTTCCCAGAGACTTTCACAAGTTTAATGCTTGGTTTCTATCAGTTAATAAAGTTGCCATTTTGTTTGTTAACCTGTGTATTCCTTTTTACAGCTTCCAAACTTTGAAGGGCATTATTTGCTCATAGATATAAAAGCAACTTGTATTTGGAATGAGCACCTCGAGTAGACATTTTTGTAAAACCTTAAAACATTCATGAGTTAAAAAAAAAAACTTGATACTTCAGGGACTCAGTAAGGGATGTGGCATATTCTAGAAGAACAAATCATTTCATTGCAAATTTGAGCGCTTGGGCCCAGCGAGCAGCTCAAAGTCAAACTCAGTCAAGTTTGGGGCCAAGGGCTTTACCTGTGCGAGGCAGGTGCGGCGGGCAGAGAGTGGCGTTTTTCTCTAACTCCTCTTCTGGGTTCCTTTGAACGTGTTTGTACTGAGTTGATTCCTTATTGAAACCCGGCTGACGGTGGCATCGGGGTGGTTTATAATCAGCCTGGCCCGCCGCACTCCCTTTCATGTTAATTCCGCAGCGCTGGCGGATCAGATTTACGGCCAGATGGCGGCGAAGCGCGGAGACCCTTTGTGCGCCCGGGCGCGCCTGTGAATGTCGCGCGGTCGTTGGCACCGGAAGGGTTCACACTGCGTGTGAAAGGGGACAAAGGAGCCTGGATATATCAACACTGCAGAAACCGAGTTCATTTGTGATGCAGCCCCTTTCACCGCGGTTGTCAGGCAAACTTCCTACTTTGATCAGCAGAGGGTGGAGAGGGAGAAAGGCGCAAAGCGCGGGCCTCGGCGCGGTCCGTGCGCCCTTGGCGGCTCCACGCCCCCTTCCGGAAGGAACTGCGGGACGCAGCTCCTGCACCTTGACCTGACCAGACTGCCTGCACGTTTTTGTGTCGGTT